TAGAGACTGAAGCCAGCACAGGATATTGAGTACCTCAGCAGCAGAGCATTACAGTGCATGGCTGGCAGGGTCTAAGACGTATCTGATTGTATTTCCAGTTACGAGAAATGCACTGAAGCCAGTCCTGAGGCAGGCCAGAGAGCTCCAAACGCCACAAATCTGGGCTGTTTAGCTACGTTATGCCTTCTCCTCCTCCCTCAAGATTCATCTGGAGAGCAATTAAAACCCTTGTAAAAATGTGTTCCCAATTAAAGAGTGAGACTGGCTCTGAAGGATTAGACAAATTGAGGAGTAACTTTTGCAGTAGTGTAGGATTTGCATGAACATCCCTTTTATTGTTCGTATCAAGCAAAAAACAGTTGGAATGAAAATTTCTGCTGAAAACCTGCTCCAAAGCCCATGGCATCCTTCCTTAGATCAGAGTCTGGACTGGGGATGTAGTTTTTGGAGCTTTACCTTGCCGCTGCGCTGTTTGAGATGTAGCATCCCAAAGCAGAGCCAAGCAAAATCCTTTCTGGATAGGCTGAGCTCAGACAGGGGCCAGATTGCAAATGACTGGTACCTCCTAGCAGAGCAACTTGGCAGCATCCCGGGGACTGCAGGAATGGGGATCATGCCGCACCGTGCCCCTGCTTAGGCAGCAGCCCGCTACCTCCACCCCATTGCACCCACCGTGAGTGAAGCTGCAAATCAACTCTGTGTGCAGAGGCCTTATTCTGATTCCCCTGAAGCCACTACATGCTTCAGGCAGTGGCTCCGAACAGCTTCAAACAACCTCATTAATCTGCGCCCGCCTCCCCTGCCAAGGCGCGCGGGGTGGCGGAGGGGCAGGGAGCACAGCAGGAGCCGCGCAGCCAGACTTTTATGGCCACAAAGGCCAAGTCGCACCTGCTAACGGTTGTGAATAGACTTGTAGACAGCACCAGGTGTGCCATTTCAACAGATTTCCCAACTGGGCGTGCCTTTCATCTATGTATAGAGCCCCGGCGAGGGTATGAAGCGTGCTCGGCAATTGTCCTAATTTAGCAAAAATCCTATTTGTCCAGTGGGTCACCCTGCTCAGTTGGCACGTGTATTTCAGGAGCAATTATATCGGTTGCCCTTGGCCTGGCCCCGGCCGTGGCCCTGCAGGGAGTCGGGGAATGCTGCTTTTATCACTGGCGGGGCAGGATGGAAACAAAGGAGCAAGCGAAAAGGCAAGTGGCCACTGGCCACGGGAACAGCTTCCCACAGCGCAAGGAGCATCCATGGGTGGCCAGGGCTCCTGGCACCCCACCCCCGTGCCTGCCCCCACCTACCCTGCAGCATAATTCAGCTCCTTTATTTAAAGTGTCAGCCTTTTAGAGAAGGCATTTTATTCACATCACTGTTCACTTAATATCATGAGACCTGGGAGTAGCTCAGGGCTTATAGGTACTTTACAAATACACCAATAAACAACAGTAACAAACGAGGTTCGTGCACTTGCAGGGCGCTGCTGACGTCTCTTCTGCAATCTAATAGCGAACCTTGGCAGAGACATTACATGCAAGATTTTATAATTTCAGGCTTCATTAGAAGTCTGAGCCATAATTTCAGTTTCATTAGATTATGTCTATATCCCAAAGCCACATCATAAAGATGAGAGAAATGCTAAGATTTGTTTTCTAAGCGCCGACGACTCGATCGTACTCAATAAAACAAAGACACTGATCTCATGGGGATGGTTGGATGAGATCAGATAAGAGTTTTGCAGGCTGGAGTCATTATTCATTAGCAGATAACAAGGACCTTGTTTTATTCTGAACTGTCTGCTCTCCATGGACATATGTGTGGTGGCACTTCCGAAAGATGCATCTAAAATGTAGTTGTGATTTCAAGATTCCATTAGAAGCACTTTTCCTGCCTGAGCTCGGCTGATGTATATTGTATTTGCTCTAATTATTATCTTTGAAAAAAGATCTGATGAGAGAAGTGGCATCTGAATTGCTCTGGTTTTGTTTTTATAAATATGAATCAGCTGCTGTTTTGAAAAAAGTTAAAGCCCTTTCTCCCACATTTTCAAACCTTCCTAATTTCTTATTGGAATTCCCACCAAAAATTAACAGGGAAAAAGGCAAAGGATGAAGATATGTCAATACTTAATACTCCAAAGACAAACACCAGATACATCGCTTTATGCTCAGCGTTCACTGTATTGCATTACTGCTGTGTCTGTGGAAAAACCCCAAGTTGTGGAAGGCAACTGAAGTAATCCCCTCACTATTTTGTTTGTTTAAGAACTACAAACGGTGGGGATGGTCGGGCAGACCACAGGGCCAGGGTGCAGCATCACTTGGCATGTAAAGCCTCCGGAGCCACTGCAGTCCCCTGAGAATTTGTAGGTGTCTGCCCAGCGCATCCCTGGGGAGGACGCGACGGGGGAGTCGGGGGGAAACGTCCCTCAGCTTCTCGCTCGGCCTTCTGGATTGTGGAGAAGCACTGAGAGACTGCCCAGCTTGTGCAACTGTGCTGTCATGGTTAACCAGAAAAGAACTATAAAATGCATCAGAAATGGTTAGTCTGAAGCCTGTAGCTTGCCTTGATGAGGTTCTCTGGGAGCACAGCGTAGGGCTGGTGCCATGCAGGTGTCCCCGCAGGAGGACGGTACGTTAGAGGGACAGACACAGCACCTTGCAGGGGGCAAAATATTCGCATGTGTTTCAAACTGCCCAGCCCCAAGGTGTGCAGCTAAGGCAGCAGCTGTGTGATATGCACAGAGGTTTTGGGACCTTCATCCGCCTCGTTGCTGGGTACAGCTCTGTGCTCTGCCAGCAGCCCGCAGCTGATGACGTGCACTTTGTGCGGTGGCACGACAGATCCACCGCAGTGTGACCTGCCTCCTCCAGGGGTGGTCTGATGAGTCCAAACTGCATGCAGGCGCTGAGATTTTGTGAAGTGAAGGCACATCCAGATGGACTAATCAGTGAAACATGTATTTAATCTGATGGAGCTCACCTCTGAACGCTTGTCACCCTTGTGGTTCAAAGCCACAGGCTCTCACCAAGGTCATTAATGCAACGTGAGCGCACCTCGTGAAGTGCCAACTCCAGGTCCAGGATGCAACAGGGCAGGGAATGTCTGGCTGAGGGAAAGCTCTCAGCATCACATGAAGAGCCTCATTACAAGTGGAGTTTTGCCCATTTGTGATTCTGGGGAAAATGGTATAAACACATACATGCTGCTTGGAAAAGCTTCAAACTCTGACCTGCCTCCACTACGATGATTTATTTTTCCAAATTACTGCATTCTACAGCAATAAAGGTTTTTGACACGTATACATGCACACTTATTAGCTTGATGCTAAACATATCAACAAGCCACTATGTAATAATTTTGATAGAATCATATAGATATTTTGGTAACTACAGCTTGAATAAAAGACATTATTTATTATACTTACTGGACTAGTTCATAAAGGCCTCAACAGCCATCAGGACACATTGTACTAGAGACTGTAAAGACACAGCAAAGTGGAGAATCCACCCAAAACACCTTCCAGTGTAAATACATAAGACAGAGAGAATTTATTTGCTTTTCACTGTAACTCAGCCCTTGACTCACCACAGACCAGGCATAGCTCAAGGCAAATGTGTCTGAACTTTCACAAAAGGTGACTGACTCCCACAGACGAAGGCTCCTCTTTCTTCAGTGGCTTTCCAAGGGCCTTCCCCCCCTGCCAGTAGGAGAATCAGCAAGTACCAGCTCTAAGAGTCTTTTTTTTTAAAAAAAAACTATTTATACACCTATTCAGACATACAGTGATTTTAAAACAGACACTGGATACCATCAGGCATCTGTACTGCATTTATCCTAGTTGCTATATGCAAGTTTGCATATTCACAGTACTCATCTTCTAAATACACCCAGTACCTCGGCAATCCAAGAAGGACATACAATGTAGGCATGTTAATTAAGTCAGTGAATAACATAAACCAGTGCACAATTAAATGGCCAAACTTGATTCTCTTTCATTCATGCTCTTAACAGTTTCACATGACAAATAGTCCACATTTAAACTACGCTGATAGAGTAATTTATGTTCTAATTAGACCACTTTATTAAATCAATTTGTGTTGCTCAGTGAGTTTGTGCGGGTTGCATGGGCTCCAATGTAAATTGCACAAACGATGATAAAATCTCTCAGTAAAGCACTTCCGATCATTAGATTTCAAGGAGGATTATCTGAGGGGTAAATCCCATTCTTCCCATTGGGGTGATAAGGAAACTGAGACCATAGAACACTTCACAGAAATCACTTGTATTAGTCACCTCACAGTCAAGATAAAAGAATTTGGCCTCTCAGGTCCTGTTCTAGAGGACAAAGTTTGATCTAATTAATCAAGTATTACCCTCAAAACAAAGAAGCATGTGTTCCAGTAGAAGCCCCCATCATTCATCCCTCTATCACCATCACTGCTGCTCAGCATTATGGTGGGAACAAACAGAAGCACATGATCTTACAGCTGGTCCATTGTCAAAATGACACATTAGCAGAAGGATTTACAGACCTCTTCGCTTACGAAATAAACGTTTGTACATTCCAAAATGTAAATGTTTTCTCTGTACAGGAGCTACACACCACAGAGAAAGCTACTCCCCAAAGGCTGTGCAGAACTCAGGGATGTAGTTAGTATATCTGCGACTTTTAAGGTTTGCTGCCTCCCCCCCAAAAAACATCAGAAACTGCGGTAGAGCAGTGTCACAAAAAAAAAAAGGAGAACTGGACACGTTTACATAGCCTCTGTGCAAAAACCAATGTTTGCCTCTCAGAGGCAAATCCTGGTCCCAGTGAAGCCAGTTAAGTGTTTTGTTAATGATGGACACTGGGTCAGGATTTTAATTCAGATTTTACTTCCAAATTTATTTCAAGAAAGATTTGCTCTGTGAAAAGTTGAGTTGATCAGGGAAGGCAGATCTGCAGTTTTCCGTATCCACAGAACAAGGAGGAAAGCTTTTCTTAAAATCGCGCTGCTTTGATTTTATTTTTTTGGTAGCTTGGGTGCTATATTGTTTTGGAACCACATGAAGCTGAAGATGACACCCATCGTCTTTGGGAGAGTTTCATCAAAAGCAAACTTCATGGAGTCTTCTAAAGGTATTTCTACAACTTCAATCAGCTCTCCTTCTTCAGGTTGGCCACCTCCTTCCCCAGTTCTCATCTGGTCCGTTACTTCCACATAAAATAAGGTCTGCCTAGAACCTGTCACACCAACTCCAGATCTGAAAAAAAAAGCAGAGAGTGAACTTTCTCTTAGGTAAAAAGAAGGCATCCAGGAACTAGGAATGGAAACCTGGGTTCTTAATACATGTCACTAAGCAATATCAAAATACATGTCCTTAGACTCTGCTGATGTCACTTGGACACTGCAAATGCAATTTTGTTAACAGAGATATCAATTGCAACTTTCATGCAGGAACACCAACACTTTTGAATACAACTGCATATTAAATGGATCTGTCTTCAAATATATTCTGCAACTTTGGAAAAATGTTAGTTTGGGAGAAAATAAAAACCAGTTTTTGAATTGGTGAGATGTTGTTCTACATACACTGCAGTCAGCAGGAGTTTTTTCAACCGACCTTAGCGAGAGCTGGACCGCATGATGACTCACAGACATTTAGAAACAACAAAATGAAGCCCCTCAGTGTATTTGCATGTTATCATGCTACATTTGTTTGCTTGGATTTTACACAAATATTTAGATTTTTACTCTTAAGAAGATTACATCCATTCACAGCTGGAGTCCATTCACAGCTGGAGTCCTCTCCTCATGGACTGGATAGATATAATAACAGAAAGGCAGCCCAAGAGCCTTTCTCTATCCTTCCTGAACTTTAGTCTTGACCCAAATGGACCACGGCAAGCACACATGTATCCGAAATAATTCAGTTTCACTGCTAAATTTGCTACAGTGGATTTAGTTGAGGATATTTTAGATTATATAGTCTTTCTTCAGCTAGATCGCTTGCTGTGTATTATACTTCTTATTTGTTAATCCTCTGTTTCCTTAGGACTATTTCATTTAGGTATTATTAAATAAGGGATAAGTACATAATCCACTCATTTAGTCCTTCCAAGAAAATATTCACATCGTAATCACAAGTTCTTCATTTCACATGATTACAAGTGACTTTTCACATTGAATCTGGATCCAAAGTTCCCTGAAACTAAGAATGAGGCATTAGGGCAAGCAGAAAAATTAGCTTCCATATAATTATACCTACAGAGGATTCTAGGATTTGTAGCAGTGTTACGATCTTAAAGTGTATATCCATACTTACCCAACCATTAGTCAACTAAATCTTTCAGTTAATCCAGCACATCACACACCATAGCAGGAATTAATCATGTGTCTCTCAGTTTGGTAAGAACACTGGCAATTATTTTGTTTGGGGAACAGCAATTACTGAAGTAAGTTTCTTATACCAATATACACTCTTATTTAAAGCACAGAATAGAGAGCAAACCGGTGACTTTGGGCAAGATGTTTCACCCTGCTAGGATCGTTCCTGTATAACTGAGAAGAGAAACTTAACCATCTTAGGCATTTCCCAGAACTTTGAGGGCTACTATGGGATTTTTTTCATTCTGGGCTCATCACTTTATTCCAGACAATAGCGGGTTTTTTATAGATGTTTGAAGCAGCAAAATGTGACCTACGAGGAGGCAGCAAAAGACCATAACAGTTTTCCCTCTCTTTGCCACTTTCACCAAAGTACAGGAACTCCTTCTTCAGTCACTCTGACTCAGTATTTGTTCTCCCGAAGGACCTCTTCTCTGCAGCCACTGTCTTTGGTACTCATATGCTATTCCGATGACCATCAGGGACGGTTTGCCAATATAAGGGCCATCCAGGGCTGACAATCATCCACAGACTGTACATGCCACTGGCACCAGATCAAATGCCTTCTCAGGACTCCCCGTGCCAGACTCTCTTTTCCCTTCTCTGATGAGAAGCTGCCTGGAAGAGTAATGCCATTCACCAGCCGTGCTGTCACTCACCTCATCTCCAGTGAAGATCCCACCAGCAGAGACACACAAATGCAGCCTGGGAAAGCAGCAGGAGTGGCACACTGGGCCCACCATGCCAGCACAATCACCCTGATCTCATTCCAAAAGTAAGGTAGATTCATTTTGCATCAAGTTGCTATCAGCAACCAGTTGCAAAAGCTGGGATGCCATTTTTATGCTCATGTGCTATCAGTGCCCTTTCTGCTGTGACGATGCCAGCCCACTTTACTAGATACCCTTTGTGCTCTCTTGGTATTATCAAGCAATAATATCTAACCTTGAAAAAACAACAGCAGAAACCAAATGCCGATTAAAAGCAAACAGATTTATTTCACAGTCCATCACAGCTGGCTATTTAAGTTCTAGTCATTTAGTGAGCAGTCTCCCACAGCTTAGTCACCTTGATTTCTGTCACTGACCCACGTGCTACCCACTCCTCACTACTATAGCTATGCCCCTTGGAAGGAGCCTCACTGAGAGAGCATATTTCTGATGGAAGAGCAGATTGCTTGTTCATATTTCGTTCCCTTTGCCTTCTTTTCTTGTGTGAGAAGGCAAAAAGGATTTTTTTTTAAATCAACTAGAGATCCAGATGTGTTTCTCTCTTTATATAGTGACTACTCGTTCTTCAATTGTTTCTGCAAGAATTGAATTTTATTAACTAAATAAACATAGGAAGACTGGGGTTCAGAGATTATTTTGGTAACTGATAATAAAAATAAAAATTACGTGTCAATTTATAATGTAAAATTTGCAAGACAAAGAATGCAGCTTGCTAGTACCACAAAAAACCAGGAGTATGCATAAAATGTTTAGTGGTCTGCTATTTCTGATGAGCATCAAGTCTGAGCTTCAACTGGCGTGCTCCACTTGAAGAATGAAAATGATCCTAAATTGAGTAAATCCATGTCCACTTGACGTTATGTACAGTTACACGCAAAAACATAGAGACTTTATTTAAGAAGGCCTTCTGTAAGTACATGCTGGCTTGATTATTTACAGCATAATCTCCTCGTATATCACCTGTGACCATTTACTTATTAAAAAGATGCAGCTGTGGAAATCACAGGAATTCACTTCCCACACTTCATTAAAGGAAGACTGCTTCCTGAGGTGCTACACAGTAAGATTCAGTTCCTTGCCACTGTAGCTCAAGTAGCATGGAGTGATTTCTAAATGCTGTGATTTCATCGTATTTACTCATGTGATACTTCTCTTAAGTCAGTGTTTCTCTTCTTATAAACTAAGTAGTGGCTACTAAATTGAATATCCTTTACAAGATGAAAGCACTGGACATTAATGTCTTCTTCCCTTTGTTATGATGCCCAAAATTACGGCATTTATTTGTATGTACTAGCACGTAATTGCCACAGAAGCCAACAAGAAATTTCCTACAATACATATTTAAAGGAAGACATACTCACATGTTCATTGTTTCTTATTTGATTACCTAATTTATTTTTCTCCGATGCAACTCTGACACAAGTTATTCATTAAAAGGTAATTAAAACTTCCAAATAAGCTATAAATAAAACTAAAGTGTGCTGCTATTAATCCTCATTCTATTCTACTCTTTGCCCCAAAAAACAGCAAATGTAACATTTCTATGACTACTTAAGAATACCCTCATTATTTAGACGAATGACTTTGGACACTATTGCATGACAATAGGGCCACAAAAATGATCAAAAGGTTGGAGCACCTCTTGTATGAGGACAGGCTGAGAGAGCTGGGGTTGTTCAGCCTGGAGAAGGCTCCAGGGAGACCTTATAGTGGCCTTCCAGTACCTGAAGGGGCGGCAGGAAAGCTAGGGAGGAGCTGTTTACAAGGGCCTGTAGTGAGAGGATGAGGGGCAGTGGTTTTAAACTAGAGCAGGGTAGATTTAGATTAGATGTTAGGAAAAAGTTCTTTACTGTGAGGGTGGTGAGATACTGGCACAGGTTGCCCAGAGAGGTGGTGGAGGCTCCATCCCTGGAGACATTCAAGGTCAGGCTTGACAGGGCTCTGAGCAACCTGATCCAGTTGAAGGTGTCCCTGCTCACTGCAGGTGGGTTGGACTAGACGACCTTTAAAGGTTCCTTCCAGCCCAACACATTCCATGATTACTTCGAATATATTAACTGCTTTTATTTATTGTTGAACTAAATGTCCATTTCAATGATTTCAAAAGGAAGTTGAAAGATATAAGAAAATACTTAATTAAAAAGGCATATTTATTACCTTTTTAAAATTGATATTTCTCTAAATGCTCTGGCTTACTCTGCCAGTTGACCTTTTTTGAATGGATCCACATGGAATGCCCTTTAGTAGATTAAATATTCTCCAAATTGCTTACTGTTGTCTTTCACAAAATTGTCCAAAAATTGATGCTGCTGACACATCATTTGTTTTAGGACCTTTGATTTGTATGGATATCACAAGTTAGCAGGTTAGCTGCTTTGAAGCTGTTCTGAGCCTCCACCTGGTTGAGGTAATGAAGTGTTTTAACACATATCCTTGGAAAATACATACACATTTCAGTGATTTTGGGTACTGGGGCCAGAGGAAGAAGAGAGCAGAAAGTGAGAAGGTGGGTCTAACTAGTAAATAGGCAACAGGCAGATGTTCTGTCTTCACTATGCTTCTGGTTTATCTCTCATTAGGAACTTGCTATGCTTTTGCACATTTACTTGCACTTGTATGATAGAATTTTGATGCGCCTTTAATCATGGTTAGATTCCTTTTTCTGCTCTCTTCTTCTCTATCCCAAGCCCATGACATATGCTTTTCCTTGCCCTGGTATTCTACGTTACAAATAAAATGCTTTTGCCACGGTCTGAAATGAGTCACCTATTAACAGATTACAGCTATATTCATTAGCTTTGCATCTGTGGAAATCACAGAGGTCAGCACACCCGAACGGCAAGTGATGAGTTTCACCCTGGGAAAACCACCTTCCTGATAAAGGTGCCTTCCCAGCACACGAGGGGCTTGGTTTGGGGCAGGGGGGGAAGCAGAGTCTGAACTCACGGCACTGGCACATGCTGAGACCCAGGACTTCAGCCTCACTCCACAGGTTTAGCACCACGTTGCCCAGACCAGGCATGTCATGGCTCATACTGACCCAGACCTACTAAGCCTGGCTTGACCTAGCTGGTTGTTCCAGATGTATTTGGATGCGTCTGTACAGTGACTGATTCTTATTTACTGCTGTGGGACAAATGCAAAT